GGAGGGGAAGGGAAGGCCCCTTATTAGAGCAGCGCGCCCCAAGTCTTTATTCTCCAGCTCCTGTCCACGGTGGGGAGAGGAGCCCAGGGGTGCAGGGGGGTCTGTCCTAGTCGGCAGCTGGTTGGAGGCCGCCCCTGAGGGGCAGGGCCAGTCTGCTGGGGTGGTCGCGAAATAAACGTGGAAGGAGAGGCACTTCCAAGCGGGGCGGGGCCCATGAACTTTAAACACCCGTCTGTGCACTTCTTTTCAACCGTCCCTCCGCCTGCTTCCGTCAGACAAAACACCCTCCAGGGAGAGGGCGTTTTGATTTGAAATCTTCTGTGATCTTCTACTGGCCTTGTCTCATAACTAAATTAGCAGGAGGGAAAGGGTGGGGCAACAGGGCTGGGTCAGGGAGGTTGAACCTTTGGCTGTTTTCCTTATCCTGCGCAAGACGCTTAGAATTTACTCTGGTCTCTGTCGTTGGTTCTGCTGAGCCTGTCAAGCTCAGTAAACTGCGCGCTGGTCAGTCAGAGATCTGCTGGGATACAGAGCGCTTAGGTCTCTCTCCTTACACAGACGTGGGCCTCTCCCTCTCTGAACTGGCTACATGCCAGTTCAGGGGCCCCAGGATTGCAAAAACAGCCAGGCCTTCTTAAAACGGGTCTAGCCTAAATGTAAATAAATGCTTAGAGTGCTTTCCTGCAGTTAATTGGAAAACTTTGGATGCTGAATTTTATCTTGAAAGTGATTTAGATAAATTAAAAATGCATTGTAACTTTAATTTTCTAATGTTTTGACAAGCAGGATTTACTTGGACAACTCTGTTGGTATCCTTAACTTCTGGCCAAGCTTGTTTCATATAGATAGATAGATGATAGATAGATGATAGATAGACACATATATGTGTGTATATACATATTCTTGCGAATGGTTGTAAATTCATACACTTACCACATGAATGTGCTACTGTAAACAAAATCCTTAATGCTTTATTCTTGACTGTTTGAAAATTGTTTTGAAAGCCTTTTAAAATATATGTCTTGGGCTGGGGTTTAGCCCAGTGGTTCCACCGCCTGCCTCACAAGTGCAAGGTCCTGAGTTTGCTCCCTAGTACCAAAAAGTAAAATAAAATATATGTCTTTATAAAGTGATATTTGGGATGGTGATGGAAATTGTTTATATTGTTATGATAAAAATGACAGTATAATGTGGGGGGAAAAGTGCATTGTCCTGATTACAGTGAGAGGAGCAGTTGAGATCCAAGGGAGAGTGAAGATCTGAGAGTGACAGGGAGGCCTCGTGGCTCACGGGAGTTGCTAGTGTAAGGGGATCCCATCGGGCCATGGGTAGCAAAGGCTGAGCAGACACGAAACCCTCCTTCAGCTGCCTTTCTTGTGGGCCTCGTGGTCAGGCCTCTAGCACCGTAGTCTTCGTGTATCTACACACTGGCCCGGGCACAGGTAACAGTATCACACTTTGAGAAAGTGCACAGGCACCTTTGCTCCCCGTGACTTAGCAGATGCTGTACCCACACACCCAACCCAGACGCCTCATCTTAGCCCTTCAGTCTCACCCCTGTCTGTCTCAGAGCAACATCACACAGTCACAAGGACAGCAATGGCGGAATGGGAGTGGAAGGACCTCCTATACCTCTAATCTTAGCAGCTCAATGACTCCATTCCGGAGTCTGCCTCTAGGCCAGGGGAGGAGAGAGGGAGACACACCTCAGGAAAGAGAGCTGAAGGCTTTTCCTAGGCACTGTGCCTTTAAGAGCCCAAAGCCTGAAACACACGTGCCTGGGTGGTTTTTGAAAAGTACAGGGCCAGAGGGCAGAATCCCTTTTCAGACAAATTCCTAAGTGTTGCAGCTTCCTTGATATCTCTCCTGGGGACTGATGGTCCCCCGAAGAAACTCGGCCAGACAGTATTTGGAGCCACAGCAGGCTTATGAATTTGGCTCCACAATTTTCAAAATAAGGATAGATAATATTTCAAACTCTAGGTGCCTTTCCAAATGTGTACACTGACTCGTTCCCACAGCAGCCAGGAGGGGGCCGCCACAGGTCCCCCTTACACTGGAGGGACTGAGGCTGAAAGGTAGGCTGGGTGGCTTCGTGGGACTCAGCTGTGAGCGGCAGAAGCTGGTTTTGAGCCCAGGCAGCTCGCTGTGCAGTGGGGCCCTGACCAGAGTCCAGCTGTTGCTGTCACTTCCATAAAATTCTCTGAATCAGAGCCTTCCTCTCCTCCAGGAACTTAGCTTTTTTCAGCCCAAAGTAGGTCTTTTTGTTCTTCTTCACTCCAGCAGGAGAAATGAAGTCTAAATTTAGTGTATAACTTTGGACAAGTTGCTGCTTCTAGGAATCAACTAATTAAAAATTGTTCCCAGATTGAGACTTCTGTTCTCCAACGAGTTCCTCCTCTTCTGTGGCTTCCTGTGTCATGTATATAACATGTACATTTTACATACATGTTCCATGTACATGCTGTATCTATATCAAGAAACACAATTGTCTGAGTGTGGTGATTCACACTTGTAAACTCATGTACTCAGGAGGCTGAGGCAGGAGGATCATAAGCTTGAAGCCATCCTGGGCAATTTAAACCCTGACTTAAAATTAAAAAATTAAAAGGGCTGGAGCTATAACTCAGTAATGAAATACCCCTGGGTTCAATAACATATATATATATATATATATATATATTTATGTATTATATGCCACAAGCTGAGGCAAGAAGATATCCACAAGTTCAAAGCCAGCCTGGCCTACATAGTGAGACTCTGCCTTAAAAAAGAAAAAGAAAGAAAAGGAAACCATATGCCTGTACTCCCAAGGCAAAACATTTTGACTAATGAGTATGTGACATAAAATGATAAATAGCTTTGGGGATTAAAGAATAAACACAGGAGGAATTTCCCTCCGAGCTCAACAAACACAATAATCTCCATAACAACAAACACCAGTACTCAAACAAATAAAACATAGCAAACAAAAGAAAAAATAAACACAGAGCAACTGAGCTAAGCACATGGATATGTGCTGTCCTTGGAAGCTGAGCTGCAGACTGACATTATGTATCCATGCACAGAGCAATTTCAATGGCAGTTCACTACCTAGGACACTGGGCCATGTTCTGCAGTGGACAGTGTCCCCAGTGAGTATCTCCCTCAGCTGAGACTGACCACTGGTGGGAGTTGTCACTGACAGGACAAACACGAGACACCGATGGACATTTGCCCTGCTGTGAACATTAGCAACACGGAATGCTGAGCACAGAGAGGCAAGGCCACATTAGCCTATGATGACCTCTACTGTCATAGACACTGCTTTCAGCAGGCCCTAGCTGGTGAATCTTTAATCCCATAAAGTGATTTATGGGCTGCCTTATCCAGAGAAGCATCCTATGAGTTAGTCAGGCAGTCACTGGGGCTGGCAATGTGTCTGTTTCTGCACCTGCCTTTTCCCTCTAAAAACTCTCTGGCCATGGCAATTTGGGAACAGGAGGACTACTGCATTTGGAAGACCCTAATCCACTCTTATACACCCAAAGGACGGGTTCACACACAGATCCGCAGAACCTTCTGCCCTCCTGACCAACACTGTCTGCTCATTTGCTTCTTCCTTCTCTGGACATGCGGTAATCAATGCTCAGCAGGCCGCAGTGGGACTGCAGAAGGATCCCATACCTGGTTTCACACTCTGTTCTTGTCATCTTGAAATCCACAATAATCTTTTAGGAGAGGACCCCATAAGTTTAGCTTAAGCAGGATCCCACAAATCACACAGCCAGTTCTGCAGCACAGAAAGCTGGCCACCCACAGTGCAGCCCCAGGCTGCTTCTCTCTGGGTCTGTCTCCCCAGTTTTGAAAAGGGGCCTGGAGGGGAAGGATTCTAATTGACCTTAGGGTTTTTTTCTGCTCTGGGATCTAGAATCAACGGTCTGATAGGAGATACTTAGAGCTGTGTTTCATCCCAAGTTTATTTGTGACAGAGAACAGATGGAATCCCAGTGCCTTTTGGCGCCTCAGAACACCCTGCCCTCTCTGAAGTCAGAGCAGGCAAGGCAAAGGGGATCAACATCTGACAGATGAGGCCTGTCTGACCCAGGCTGGTTTCCTCATCTGTATGGTGAAAAAATAATTTTTAAAAAACGGTGCAGTAGTGAGGACAGAAAGGGCCCCTCTGGGGCATCTATTATGTGCCAGACCCCATATTTAATTTCTTTGCAGATGTTACTTCTTTTCCCTTTCCTGTGGATGGAGATATTTTCATCCCCACTTCACAGGTGCGGAGAAGTAAAAAGACAGCTAAATCCACATGACTGGTTTGTGATGTACCCAATATTTTAGTCCTCTTGTGACTTCGAATCTTTGCATGAATCACTGCGAGTCCCTAAGACTCTACCGCGCTAGGCCAGGTGCCAGGATTCCAGGAGATCGTGAGGCTGAAGGGGCTGCTCAGGCTGCAGGGGAGAAGAAACTGGCAGCTCAAACCATGGTGGTTGGTGCTCTTTGCTTCCAGCTGTCCGGATTCTGCACTGCGCTTTATCCGGGGGTGTTTGGCCCTGTGTGACCACGCGGTGGCGCTGCAGGCCAGGAGGACCCACGCAGACTCTGGTCCCGCGAAGTTTGGTGAGGACACAGGTACTTTTGAGTTCTGACCTCTCCCCACCACTGCCTGTGAGTACTCTCCTGTCCCACAGAATGCGAGAGGCCAAGGGAGGCTGGAGACCAAAGTGGTCTGGCGCAATCAGCAAGACCAGGCCCTCTTTCCTCACCTTCGGGAGACACTTAGGACTATGAGGCCTGGGTCTCCACCCACCCCCACCCCTCGGTCCAGGACTCATTGGTACAGGAAGACCTGACTGGGAAGATGTCTCCCAAGTGCCAGCCTCTCTCATCCTGGCCACTTGTCCTGTCCTGTGGATCCTGTGGATCCTGCACACATCCTGACTCTTACACCCAAAGGCCTTCTGTGTGTCCCTCCCTCTCCCACATCAGGATCGACAGCCCCCTAGAGCAGACATGGGACTTGGGTGGATTTATCTTGCCACCCAGCACAGGGTCTGGCAAAGTACTCGGTGTTATCTAAAAATACAGTGAATACTTAGCTTTTGTTTAAATTCTTACAGCGCAGACACATTGCCATGAATCCCTTAAGATACGCCCCTTGCTTCACTTATCTGACGGTTCTGGAAGTCCATTGTTTTCAGTTGCGCTATCACACCTGTCTCAATGTCCTGAATTGATTCAAAACATTTACCTTTCAACAGCCACTGACTTTGTGGAAGAGCCAGAAGTAACACCGTGCCAGGTTGGGTGAGTAAGACGGATAAAGACACATCATGTTTTTGAGTCTGCCTTTTTGTTGGATGGCACTGAGCAGCAGCTTTCACTGTATTTTTGCTCACCCCTCGTAAAGATGTTCACGAAAGAAAACTTTCAGAAGTGCTTCAGAAAAGTAGCAAGAATGAGGTGAGGGGGGACTCCCTTGAAGCTGATTAGTGATGTGTCTTTATTGTAATAAATTTTAAAAAGTTAAAACATTCATCATACATTTTGATCTCACTTCATTGCTAACGTGTTATGGGGGTTCCTGTAGGGTGTGAACAGTGAGAACTGCTGACAGCAAAGGCACCAAATGAACTAGAAGGGAGTTCCCTGTCAGTGAAGGGAGTTAGGGAGCCCAACAGCTGAAAACACTGAGCATGAACGAAGTACGGTACTATTGCATTTGACAGAGGGACAGGAAGGAGACTTTGGGAAAGCTGCTACAGCAGGACAGGAATGGGGTCTCCTGGTGGGAAGGGGGCTGAAGAGGCCGGGTTGGGGCAAGGTCAGGTCCCACAGTGACAGCTGGGGCAAAGGCATCTGTGTGCTCAAGGCTACAGCGGGACAGCCAGCAGGTGGGGTTGGGGTGACCAGAAGGGGTGAAGGAGGCAGACCGCCGGCTGTAGCGAAAGGCCCAGTACACCTCAGCGACTCCCTCCCTCATGTCACCTTACTTCCCATACCCTGGAGATTATTCGGCTTCTCGGGGCAAATGATATGCCACGGCCTGGCCTCACTCATCCTTGTGAGCCCAGAGCCCAGTTTAGGCAGTGTCAGCAGATGCAGCTTAAATGACGGAAAGAAATCTTTGTAGCATTTATTAAACCAAGCACCAATCAGGTACTGGGTGAGCTGGTGGAGAAAGAGCTCTCACTGCCTGGAGAGCATTATCTTTGGGACCAGCCCCGATGCCCACATGGCTACGGATGGCTGGTTTCTGCCCGAGACCAATATGTACCCAGAACACAGTATTATAAAAGTGAACAAATGCCACTCTTCCCATTTTACAAATGATGTTTCCATCCCCTGCCAGCAGAGGTAGGGGGGTGGGAGTTGAAAGCAACAATTCATTAAAAAAGGCAATGACTCTTAGAAAATGAAGACAAAGGAAAAAGCCCAGAGCTGGGAAGCTGAGATGTTACCCTGGGGTGGAGCCTAAGTGTGGGTGGGAAAGACCCTGCCTATGGGAAGGTGGGTGGAACTCCTGGGCTCCAGCCTGTGGGGACTGAATCAAGGAGGCCCGTGTAGCTCATGGCTGGATGGGCTCTAGAACAGCATCAGCTCCAAGGGGGAGCATGTCCTGGGGAACGGGCATCTTTCCAGTCTTGACTCTTAGAGACCTCATCTCAGGAGAAAGTGAAGGCCTGGGACTGGCGTGCCCCAAGCTCAGAGGCTGTAAACTAAGTGACTTTGCTCAGGCCACACAGCTCGTCAGTGTGCCCACACTCCCACCTCTGTGGACCTTATCTGTTTTTCTCCTGCTGCTGTGATGACAAGGAAAGGGCAGGAACAGCAAGGGGAAGCCCAGGAAAAGGATGACTTGGAGAAAACAGGAAGTGTAGAGAGTGCAGGCAGGAGGCAGGAAGCTGGGTTCTGGTCAAGCTTCCACTCAGGGGACCCCAGATTACATTCCTTCTCTAGGCCTCAATTTCCCATCTGTCCCACAAGGAGGACAGACTTGGTTTTTCCTTTAGTCCCTTCAATAACTGAAGTTCTTCTACCCAGGATTCCAGAGCAAAGAAAGGATAAGTTGTAAAAGGGAATCCTGCTCCTAAAAGACTGGACCATGGGCCAAGACGACGCTCACCCAGTGGACCTGAGTATGCCCTGCAGTGGTAGCTCCCACCCACCCTCCTCCTGCCATGGGTCAGATCAGCCCAAGCAAGAGGAAAGGCACTTGGGGGACAAGTGAGAAAGGGCAACAGACAGGGACCAGAGTCTGGCTTGGCATGGAGATCCCTCTGCTCACAGTTTAGAGGGACAATGGGGACAAAGGGTGTTGACCCAGGCACAAAGCCCTTCCCAGGCCCACAACTCTGTGGTGATGCCACCACACAGGCCTACAGATTCTCCACTGGCAATGGCACATTAAAATATAAGTTATGTGGGACCTGAGCAAGCCCAGGGCAGCAGTCTGTCTTGTGGCCCCGGGCCACATCATTCGTCACAAAATGTCTGGGCCCTGGGCAACGGATTCCTGGGTGTCCCCACAGTGCAGTGCCACCTTGGGGCTGGAGCCAGGCTGCCGAGGATAGGCCCCCTCCCGCACAAGACGCCAGCACTGTGTGCCCTGGCCCACACTGACTCTCTGCAGCGCTGGGAGGTGATGCAACAGTATCTCAGGCAGGGGCACCAGTCCCGTGCCTGACAGGTCCAGCTCCTGCAGTGAGCCCAGGCCCGAGAACACCTCAGTTCCTGCCCACTTGAGCTTGGGGTTGCCTGACAGGTCCAGGACCTGCAAGCCAGGCAGCTCACGGAAGCCATGGGGTGCCAGCTGGGGGAGACCGTGTAGGCTGGCCAGCGACAGGTGTGTAAGGCCCTCCAGTCCCACAAAGGCACCTGGGCCAATGGCTGCCAGGGGGTTACCATCCAGGCTCAGGTAGCGCAGGGGCAGGTCTCGCAGGTGGGGAACAGCACGGAGCCGGTTCCAGGCCAGGTTCAGACTCTGAATGGTGGGAGGGGGCAGGCCGGTCCCTGCAGGCTGGGGCACCAGGCGGTGCAGGAGGTTGTGGGAGAGGTCCACATGCAGCGCCCGCGCCTGGCTGTGGGTGGTGAAGGCAGACACTGACACCTCCCGGAGCCGGTTGTGGCTGAGGTTCACTTCACTCAGAGGGGAGCTGGTGAAGCTCTCAGCTGGCAGGGCTGCCAGGCCATTGTGACTTAGGTCCAGAGACTCCAGGTAGCGAAGGCGGGAAAAGGCAGTGGGTGAGATGCTGGTGAGTAGGTTGTGGCTGAGATCCAGGCCAGCCAGTGTAGTATAACCGGGCCCTGCCAATGCCGACTCATTCACAGTCTCCAGCCGGTTGGAGGACAAGTCGAGGTGGGCTGTGTCCAGCGGGATGGGCACAGGCACAATGTGGGGGCCCAGGCCACTGCAGTCCACTCGGGTCAGGCTAAAGCTGTCAAAGAGGCCAAAGGTCTCCACCTCACATTGGCAACCAGGGAAGCATGGCTGGGTTGTCTGTGTTGCACACACGGCCAGCAAGAGCAATGGGAGCAGCAGCAGGGGCCACAGCATGGTGGGAGCTGGGGAGAGAGCCAAACACACACAGGTGAGGGTCAGACACACGGGAAGCTTCTACCCCACCCCACGCAACATGAGCCAGTGGGTCTGAACGCAGCTCCTATCTCCCGGAATACCTTCCTGAAGTATCTTTCTAATTCCTACTCCCTGTTCCTCTCTAGCCTGTTTCCCCATCTGTATGGAAAGGCGCTGGGCCAGGCTGGTGGATGGATTTTCAATAGGAAGCAGCAGCAGCTTACTTCATAATCAGGACCAGCAGATGCTCGCTTTGGCTCAAAGGAAGGGCCCTGATGCCTTCCGTGCCTGTGCCCAACGATGCAGGGCAGTTTGAAGCCTCCATCTCCAGCTCAGGTGGTTTACAGCCTATGGGCTGGTGTGGATCTAGTCCCTGCCAGGGAAGCGCTCAGAGTGTAGGGGTGGGATTGGGGTGCTCCACTCACCTCGCCTGGGCAACTATATACTGGTTACTGTGCCCTGGCACTCTCACTGACCCTCACACCGCCCTTCAAGACAGAAATTAAATCTCACCAAGAGGGAACATCAGAGCCTCAGAGAGGTTCGAGGGCCACTCAGCTACGTACTGTGGCACGCAACAGGGTACAACACAGGAAGCAAGGCCTCATGTGGCCTTCAGGTAGTGGTTGAGCCTGCACAGACCAAGGTGCTGCTCCCACTGAGACGCCAGCCCCAGCTCGTCCCAGCACCTTGCCCAGGCTTCCTGTGGTAAGGTCTCCTTTCCAACTGGGGACTCTGTGTCTAGACTCCTACCCAGCTGGGCTTGGAAAACAGCCATTCCAAGCCCCTGCCCCCTTGTACTGGGCCCAGCTGACAGAATCCTCACACCTCTGTGATCTCTGCATTAACACTGGGCAGGCAGTTGGACTGGTTCTTCCATTAAACAGATGAAAAACAGAAACTCAGAGAGGATAAGAGCCTTATTCCAAACTAATAGAAAGCAGGGCAAGACTGGAACCCAGGTCTGTTCAATTCCAATTCATCTATTTAAATGTTACCTCCAACAGGCCTGGAGGGGAGCTGGCGGAGAGGCAGAACCCAGAAGGGGCTTTTCCTACAGACACTTGCCACAGCCCAAGCCAGTTCCTCTGTCCAGCCCTCAATTTCCCTCTTTCTATAACTGTAACAGCAGCTGCCATGTATGCAAGACACTGTGTATCTTGTCACATCTAATGATCATACACCCCTACATCCATCAGACTCAGAGCCTGTATTAATGCTCTTTGTGCCTCCCAGGGTCCTGGGGCTCAGGGGTACTAGCCTGAGAACCAGATGGTTGTACAGTGAGAGCCTCTGACTGGCAACTTGGGGTCTGAGGTTACCCCTCCCTGCATAGCAGCCACTCAGCTGGGTGTTAGGCAACAGGTCTTCAGGTGCGGGGTCCTATCCTCTTGCTCTATGTCCTCCTTCTCACGGCCTTCAGGAAAAGGGGGGGAGTGGGCCAAGGACTGGGGGTGGGAGGGGTAGGGAGAGTGTAGCTGGATAGCATTACGGGCTCTGCATGAAACTTTAAAGGTGCAGCCACTTGATCTGTACTCTGGCTCTGCCCAGGGCCTAGGAGAACAGGGCTACCCTGACCTCCCCCCACCACCACCAAATGGGCTCCTTCTTTTCCACCCTTTTCTTTTGTCAAGGCCAATTAAATGTTTAAACCCAGTCCAGGTGCGTCCTGGGCTTCGTCCCAGCTGAGACAGGAGAGAGTGTTCCAATATCTGGAGCAAAAGGCAAATATTAAGTTGCTTCAGGCCCCCTTTGTTCCTCTGGGTGAGATCCTCGCCACAGAGTTCATTACTACTACGGGCTCTGCCTCCCCTGCTAAGCTGCTCTGCTCATATCCACCCTTCCTGGGGTTTAAACAAACACCACAGAGGGTCCTGAGACTACCCTGTGGTTTCCCTGACATGATTATATAATGTGCCCCTGAAAGGCCAAATGGATTTCTCAAGAGCTCCTGCTTATGTAAACGGCAACCGGAACCCAACCCCAACACTGCCCTGCAGCCTCTTGTTCTCAGTACTGTAGGGCAGCAATGCCTGCCCTGCATACCTCACAGCAGTTGATTAACCCTCAAAGAAGTGCACCGTAGAGTATGAAGGTCTGCACATGTGCAGAGAGGTCTTCCCAGGCACATCTTGAACGTGGGCAGCAGTCCTAACAGCTGATGTCAAGGGGGCAGAAGTGTACCCACTGACGTCACCACCCCCTCCCATAACAAAGCTGGTGAATGCGCCAAGGGTCCCTACTCCATTCAGACCTGGGCCAAGAGCTGGACATCTGCAGTGGGAAGAGTCTACACAACAGAGCCAGTTCCCACCATATACCAATGCTGTCACACCGTTTCTTCTTCGTCCTCAGTCACCCAGTAAGATCAGCAGCATAATCCCCACTTGCAACAGAGGAAACAGAAGAGTCATTGCTAAGCTGTGTGACACTGGGAAGTTATGGGGAGGAAAAGTGGTGAGAACAGTCCCTTCTTCAAGGAGTAGGGTGAGGATGAGAGACCCCTTGGGAGACATGCCCAGCAAGACCAGGACACTAACAGATAGATGCACAGCTGCGGGGCTGTCTCTCCCCCAGGTTGTGCTCCAGATGAAGTGCCCCCACCACCACCACCACAGGAACCCACAGATATACATCTTCACCACATTCCAGGACGATGACTCGGAGACATGGTGACAAGTTCCAAAGGACAGTCAGGATCCCTAGTTCTTAGTCCCTGCTCTGTTCCAGACTGCTGCCATCACTGTTTAAGCCCCCACCCTCTATGAGCCTCAGAAGTCTCCAGGCTTTAAAATTTAACAAAAGCATTTATTAAATCCCTACAAAATACAAAGTCCAAGGATAGGCTGGAATGTGTGAGGGCACTGGGGCCATGACCTTATGGGGCTTACAGACCAGCAATGGGGTTAAAGACCCACTCATAGCAAGATCACTAATGCCAGCCTTGGACCCAGGACACATGGACCTGTGTGATCTTCAGTTTTCTTTACATCTTTGTGCATTGGTTTTCCCATCCGTACAGTAGTATTAATGTTGTTCTCCCTGAGACCAGAGCTTTCCCCTCAAAAAGAAAGGAGACCAGCTGCCACCAAAGAAGGCAGGAGAGAAGAAACTTTGAACTAAGACTCATCCCATTTTTCAAACCCTGAACTGCAGATAAAAGATATCTACACATCAACCAGGTTGTAGAACAAGAGGGAAAAGGTTTAGAACTACATTTGCCTCCAGCACCCCATCTCCCACTGGGGAGACTAGAAGGTCCTACAGCACCAAAGGCATGAGTTACACATCGTTGGGCCCACAATGCCAAGTTTGCTGATGGCCCGTGAGGACAAGAGTAAACTAAGGCCCTAACAATTCCAGGAAGTTCTCCCCATGTGACAACATGCCTCTGTTAAGAGACACCTGTCTCAAACAGCTCTGGCCACATCACTGCCCTCTTGGGTTCTGCTCTTACCTACAGAAATCAAATTTTCCCAGGCAGAAGCTTGCCAGGTCCCATGCCTGAGCACTGCATCTGAATTTGAACTCTGCTTTTGAGTTAGAGTGGCAAGACCTAACACCTTAACAACGGATCTGAACAACTTTCGGTCTTTGATCACACTTGCCCAAACTCAGGGAATCTCTGGGTTTGGGAGCTGAAGACCTCCTGGAGATCAGTGGTGATGGAAACCCAGAGAGAGGCACTGATGCCAAGGAGCAGCAGAGAAGGGCCCAGGAGCTAGGGACCTGATATTTCATGCTGCTGCAGGAACTGCACACATCTACTGGCCTGGCCTGGCCCCACCAGTGGAACAAAGCCTGCTCTGTCCACACCAGCTCCCTCCCAGTCTTTCCTCCCACCCAGACTCTCACAGCACAGGCCATCAGCAGGCGTCCTCCAGGGGCGAATTCTCTGCTCTCAGACTTGCAGTGTGGCAGCTTGGGGCTGAGCCTGGCCATCTTCACCTGTGCATCCTTCCACGTCTGGGACAGAGCAGGACAGCCAGGGACACGGGCCAAGACAGCTGGATGATCCAAGAGCCCAGTGAGGAAGCTATGAAGGGCAGCTGCCTAGTTCCAGATCCAGATGTGAATTCAACTCCACCTACCAGGCCCAGGCAAGGCTCAACCTGGCTGAGTCTCAGTGTCCTCAACAGAGACAAGAATAGAGAATTGTGAAAGAATGCGAAGGCTTCTGTTTAGTACTGCCCTGTGCTAAGTGCCTAATTCCTGGTAGACAGTGATGACGGTGTTTTTTACCAGGCTTCCTGAAGGCAATGACAGTGTATTCTTCACACCCTTCCCAGTACAATGCAAGGTACCCAGTGGGCCCATCACTGTTGTGCTAACTCGTCCAGCCCATGTTGCTGATGGGTATAAGCAAGGCCCCAGCCTCACTCCTCTGAGGACAGGTGACAGATTGCATCCAGGGCCCTCCTCACCCTAGTAACCTGCCCCAGTACCACACCATAGTATTCTGACCATCAAATTTTCCAACCCACGCCCCAACAACTTCAATAGGGTACTCCCGGTACAAAATGAGGTAGATGGCGGCCAAGTCACATCCTGGCCCAGTGCCCGGCACCCACCTGAGATGGACCTTTGCCTCAACCAGCTGCTTCTCCTCACCCCGCCCCCTCACCGTTCCTTTAGTCACGAGCGAGCTGACACCAGTGAAATCCCTAGGTGGGAATTTCATAAGGGTCCTACCCTCCATCTACTTAATCAGCTCTGGAAACACAAGGCTGAAGGAATTTCAGGGCCAAGGCCAGAGCTGTTAGGACCAGCTGTGCCTACAGGATCACCAGTGCCACACATCTGTGCAAGCCCACCAGCTCACCTCGACTTTACCACCATCTCCTCTCTGCCTTGCCCATCCTGACTGCAGAGATCACAGGCAAGCAACTGAGCATTATTCACCTGGCTAGCAAGGAAACCAGGACTCAGACCCAGACCTTAGCTCCAAGTCCAGAGCTCCATATGCCACTCTGCCTCAGTTTACAAATGGCCGTGACAGATTAGCATGTTTACCTGTCTGTCCAGTCACCAGGGAGCTGAGCACTGGGCCTGGCACACAGCATGTTTTCTACCAAGGTTTTAGATATCTGGAAAATGACTCTGTCACCAAAGAGCACTTCTCAACCTGTCCTATGTTGCCTCAACTATTATCTCTTCAGTCATCCTGCATGATCGGGTCAGATGACACAGCTGTACTTGGGTGGGGCCTGAAAACCCAGCACCCTCGTCGGGGGAGGGTGCACTCTTGGCACTGATCTCTCCTTCCAATATGTCTTCTTCCTGGAGTCTTTCAAGTTCCTGTAGATGTAGACAGCATGTGTGCACATGGGGAATGGCAGTTTTGCAACTCGGCAAACTCAGCAGACTGGAAGCCACTCTGCAGGCCTTTATCTACTTTGAGGCTCGAGTGCCCACATGCAAGTTTGGAGTTTTGAGTGTTCACATGTACCAAGGTGAGAGACCTAGTTCTGTGCCAGTGGGCCAACGTGATGATTACCGAGGGAAAGTGAACACTCAGCCCCACTGGCACCGATGGGTGCTTGCTTGCGGCATGTCGATTCCCGCCCTCTAATAGGTGACTGCAGGGGCCAGGGAAGAAAACGAGCTTCAACACCAGCAGACACCTAGGCAAGGCAGGGGCAGAAGATGGAGAAGAATCCAAAATACATTTCCTGAGGCCTTGGATTCTGTCAGGGTACCACCTAGGGCCCCAACAGGGCTCCACTAGGGAACTGATGAGGGGACTTGGAAGAGTTGCAGAGCCAAAGCAGCCTGAAGCAGCTCTGCTGCCTGTGACAGAATGAGGACATGGCGTCAAAAAAGCAGCCACCCCTGGGTGGGTAGGTCACTGTCTTCCTTCTTCCTCAGCCCCAGCCTCAGCACCCTCACCCTGCCCAGGCCTGGTCAGGAGGCCTACTGCAACAGCCTGGCCCAGGGCCCACTTCCAATGCCGCGCATGCTGGGTGCCAGAGTGCAGCTTGCACTCTGTTTAAAACTCACTTCACAAAGACTGCTTTCTAGGCTTAAGACCCATCACTCCTCTAGGACCTCCTGCCTTTGCAATGGCTGTTCCTTCTGACCATGACAACAAAGGGACCATATTGCAAACTCTTGATCAATTCAAAAGCTGCATCCTCTGTGAGGCCTTCCCAGTCTAACCTGCCCCTTGTTCACCAAAGTGTCACCTCTTCCTGGGTTCACATGGCTCCTGGGCTGCCTACAAAAATCTACGTGCAGCTTCTCTTCCACATGAGACCTGGCCATGTGAAGGGGAGAAAACCAGACAAATAAAATGTCAAGGAAGCAAGCATCCTTCCACTTGGGGATGCTTACAAAATACTTAAGGATTTACCAAATGGTGTAATCAGGTTTAGACCCATGGTAGAACTGGAGGTGAACTAAAAGCTGAGGATCACTATGAGCTGGGATTTGAACCTCAGTCATTTCTCTTGTGAGTACAACCCAGCAAATGTCTGTACACTGTAATGCATACCCCAAACCTCTTCTCATCTTATTAGCACATATAAGTCATTGGCCTATTTATATATACAACAGGTCAGCAGGGCAGGAATCAGTGCCATCATCTGAAAGATGAGGAGAATGAGAATCAGACCAGTGAAATGTCTCAGGCCATAGAGCTAGGAAGCAATGGAGTGGGAGGAAAACCTGGACCTCTAACTCTAAGAGCCTGGAGAATACTGCCTCCTAACTGGTTTCCCAGCCTTCAGCAGCACCCACAAGTCAGGGAATTTTGTGGAAGTGCCAATCCCACCCAGTTGTGCTTGCAGACCCTCCAATGGGTCTCCAGTGCCTAAGGTTTAAATCTCAGCTCAGAGGGATCCTCAGTAATTTGGCATCTGCCTTCCCTCCCAGTCACCAGTTCAACTCCAATTCCCCAGCCCAGGACCTTGCATCTGACAGTCCACAGTGCTAACCTCCTCTGTGCTGTTGCCAGATCCCATGGAGTCCTTCACATGCTGCTCCCTCTGCGGGCACTACTTTCTGCCTCCCCCGAGTATTCAATGACTTTAAAACCTGAGTGGCTGGGTGCTGTGGTACATGCCTGTAATCCCAGTTACTTCTAACTCCAGCCATCCATGGTGCTGAGGCAGGAGGTTCACAACTTTGAGGCCAGCCTGGGGAACTTAGTGAGACATTATCTCAAAAGATAAAACGGCTTGAGGTGCAGCTCAGTGGTAGATTGCTTGTCTAGATGTGTGAGGCCCTGGATTTCATTCTTAGTAAAACAAAACAAAACAAAACAAAATCCTGAACAAATGAGCAGAATCAATCTGCTGTTGGGCCCTTCGCCCAGGTTTTTCCCATAGAACCTGTCTTAGAACTTGCTTTGCCAGGAGACTTCCAGGGTGGGCCCAGACTTCCTTAGGAAGTATCCAGTGCCTACTGTAGCTCAGCTAGAAATGATACGAAGTTTTTTTACCCCCAGTCCTGGGGATGGAACCCAGGAGTCCTGAGCTACATCCCAGCATCCCAGTCTTTGTTGTTGTTTTGTTTTGAGATAAGATTTAAATTGCCCAGGGACTTGCTTTGCCAGGAGACTTCCAGGGTGGGCCCAGACTTCCTTAGGAAGTATCCAGTGCCTACTGTAGCTCAGCTAGAAATGATACGAAGTTTTTTTACCCCCAGTCCTGGGGATGGAACCCAGGAGTCCTGAGCTACATCCCAGCATCCCAGTCTTTGTTGTTGTTTTGTTTTGAGATAAGATTTAAATTGCCCAGGGTGGACTCAAACTTGTGATCTCTCTGCCTCAGCATCTCTTTTTTCTTTTTTTTTTTTTTTTTTTTTTTTTTTT